GCCTCGGTAGGCGCGCGGGCGGCCTCGTTACGCGCACGGACGGCAGACAGCTGGGCGGGCAGCCGGGGCAAGGTCGCGGGCAGGTCTATTCAAACGGGTTGGCGGGTTGCCAGGTCAACCCGAACCCGACCCGTTTTTTAAAAGGGTCGAATTCATGAACCCGAACCCGATTTTCAAACGGGTCGAGTCCAACCCGAAAATTTCGTGTCAGGTTCGGGTCGGGTTTTCGTGTCGTGTCAAATATTGACACCCCTACCTAAAACCATTCCTAAATCTGATAATTGAATCGACGGCCAATTGTGTGTAATTTGCATTTCAGTCGAAATCTCGCTATTCAGAATACTTATGCGGCTTGGATAGACATAGAGCAGCTAGCACGGCCTATTTTGGGTGATTTTGAGAGGTTGAAGCGAGATGGTAAGAAATGGTGGGCTTCCTCTTTCGATATTGGCGTGCATTTCCTCCATACAAAGGCTCCAATACTCGGATTTTAGTGGATTCAGCACTCTTCCCCAGTTCCCTCTCCTGTCTCCTCTAGTTCGCGAGCTCCAAGCAAGGAGGTTCATAGACCTCTCCCTCTCTTTGACTCTCTTGCTCACACGCCTAGCCAAAACCGAGCTCTCTCTCGGTCTCCTCCTCTGATTTCTCCTCTTTTGACCGGTCAAGCACTTGTGTGATCCATACATGTTGAATAGCCTAATTGAGTCAATATTTATTTGGATTAGGAGAGCCTAGATACCCCACTATGCGTCAAACTACGAAGAGAATAATATAGTGTCCATAATCGAGAGTTTTTTTAGGTCGATGCCTAATATGTAATTAATCATGGAGGCTTGCGCTGGTGAGAGATCGACGCCCACATCAAATAAATCTCATTCGAACTTATGTATTGAATGAGGAAAATCTCATAATTATTTGGTCATATATATTATTACCCATCGAGGTGTGTATGTGAAAGTAACTATTCTCTATGTTAATTGCATGCATGATCTCATTTAATTTGCTCTCCTATCAACCTGCTTGCGTAGAGTGTAAAAGTCTATAACCGTTTTGTCCTACGAGGTAGCGTAATCGTACCCTTTTATATTATGATCCCCACAAGCATCATCCTTTCGGAGACCTATATATACATATACTAGTGATCATATTCAAAAATAGTTTTTTTTTCTTATAATTTCACAATTAATTTAGGTTGTTTGGTTTTTTTTAAGAAAAAAGGGATACAATAATGAGTAAGAACAATACACCACAAGACCAATTAATGGCCACATATATATAAAAATTACAGCAAAAAAGTACAATATATGATCAGGCCAACCAGTCTAAACGAAATCAAATTCGAGGTTCCCCTGCCAATAGGACTCAAACCGCCCCTGATTGCCAAGCTTGGGACCATCCAATGAGGGAAAAAGAAAACAACCAAAAGACCAGTGAACCACCTAGGTTGCCAACCAAGCCATGACCGTCCAAGGGGCTTGCAGAAAACCTGCTTCATCATTGTCCTAATCCGAAAACGATACTGCCAAAGAGCCAAAATCAAGATAAGTTAGCAAAGTAAAAAAAGGAAGACTCCAAAAAGATAAATCATTTCTTTTTGGGTTTGTTTTTACTACGCTTAACATTGTTTTTTTGGAGAAACCGCCATATGCAACCAAATCTATCCCCTAAATATCTTCCCCATCAGGCAAAAAAATGTCCTCCTCTAACCAATTGCATTGGCTCCGAACATTATTCTTCGCTAGGTGAGAAACCAAACCAGCATTGGAAATGGCAGAAATGGGAATATCAACTAAAGGTTCCAGGAAAGCAAGGGGAGAAATGTGGAGCTTAGGCGAAAGAAGCCCCACTAAAACCCCAGCCTCCTTAGAACTTAAGGAAATAGGATCATCACCCAAAACCTCCTCAATCTTCTCACTAGTAGGACTAAATATCAAGTTCATGCAACACTTAAGTGTTCTACAACTCACAAACAAGTGCAACATGCTCCACATCTTCCCTAACCGAAGTGGAAACATTCAAGTTAGAGCAGCCCATATGAGCCATAACCCCATCTAGAACAGGCGACAGGTTATCCAGAACAATCAGAGCATAAGCATTAGCCATAGAGACATCATTCAATTCAGGTGCCACTACACAACCTAACTCATCATCGGGTCGAACAGCCTCACCAACAGCAAAATTCAATTTCAAATCCTTAGACAAATCAAAAATAATATTAATTACTTCATCAATATAATTAGTAACAATATTGTCATTGCCCACAGCATTCTCATTATCACCAACAATGGGACACAAAAATAGAGCTTCATCAATCGCATCACAAGAAATTGAATTTTCCACCATATCACCCTCACAGTTAACATTTACATTCAACGGGTTAGAGACAACAGGAACAGCATTTGGTGGGGCAACCTGAAGAGGCCGGC